GTCATCCCATAACTCTTCGATGCGGAAATCGGATAAGCGATGCGCGTGAGACTTAGTATAAAACCGAGCGGACGCAGAGCCTTCCCATATCGACTAGCAATGTATGAATGTGCAAGCAGTCGTGATGATGGTGTACTATGTAGTGTCCATAATCAAGCGGTCCCTCGTGGGTTTGAGTACCGCTTATGACACTCAAGTGTCAAACTCGAAATATCGTGAGGGTCTACCCCTTCACGATATTGCACGGCTGAAGGAACAGTCGTACGGTCTCCACGGCACCTCCGACTTTTAGGCTGAGTGTCCCGGTGGGCAGGGTAAATAGGCTTTGCGAGGGAGGTGATCCCTTCCATGCAGAGTCTAGGACATGGGATGTCTTGGACAAGGACCTCGAATCCAGGCCCAGGACTAACGTCCGACTAAGAAATCTCTTTAAGAAGCATACAACAAATAAAGAGGGTTTTTCTCCCTTTCGCAATCTCGACCCCAATTAAACCCTTAAGCGTGGGTCCCTCAGGCCACGCGAACACCGAAACATAGGTATATACATGTACATACGTAAAAGGGGAATAAGTATGTGACGATTACTTCTCACAATCACAGTGAGACTCCTTACAACCATATATATGTACGTGATCGTAGACAATCAAATCCAAAGTCCGAACCACAAAACATATCTGCAATCACATCAAAGAGTCAACCAGAAGTCCACACATTACATGGAGTCAAATTGAACCATTCTCTATACTCATATTCATCGCCCTAGCCATGCAAGCCCTAGCCTCTGTCCAATCTTTCATAATTAAATACTCAGTACCTTTGTTAAATGACCATTCAATAAAAGTCCGGGTGAAAACCTTAATAAAATAATAAAACCCACCAGGGCTAAAAGCTTTTAGGTTGAGTATTGAGGATGAATTGGAGTTAAGTCGTAGACCGACGAATCGGCAACCAATCTATTATCAGTGATAACAGAAGATGATCCTCATGGGATCAAGCATAATCTATTTAAAATCTTGAATCAAACGATCAAGAGGACATGTAACACAGGACATGACAATCCCCAAACTAAATCTGTAAGTCCATTGAGAATAATCTCCATATCACAATCTCACTCAAGGTTCTCCTGCAAACTAAGTCTAAGCCTACCTCTAAGCCAGTATCCAACGCAATGTAGACCTATGGCAGCATCTCCCCTATTCAGGGTGGATTGTCAGAACAGCCACCTGTCAAAATACATGTTAACTTCCTTAAACTATGAAAATTTAGGCAACACTTCCCATAGAAAAAATGTCTTCTCATAATTTATACTAACTCAAAGATAAAAACAAAAACAATCTTTAAATTTGGAAAGTCAAATTTTGTCTATGCCTCTATCGGACCTGCACGCAAACCGGCGCCTCAGGGGGATGAGGTCTCAAACTCGACTCGTCGTCGGTCGACTAGGACGAATCCCACACACCACGCGTACACCCTATGCTACAACGAACGAGAAACGCCCTCGGCTGGTCCACCTCTGCGATTGCAACTGATTAACTTTGGTACTATGGACTGGTAGCTCGGCGGGGATACGCCCACCGAAGGGAGGTGACAACTCCCGTAAGGTGGAGGCAAGTCGTGCCTCGCGTAGGCCCTATCCTGTCGTAGGGGCTCACGAGAGGTATGGCTGGCACACTCGGCCGGAGCGGCTTGTGGAAGCTCCATGTATATATCGCGATGAGGATCAGACCGACTCCTGCGTAACGAGGCCGGGAGGGTCCCGCCCCATTTTGTGCGGTGCCGGACCGATGCGCTCAATAACGGTAGCTGACCATTGAGGCCACGGTTGTTGAGTTTAAGATTTTGAAATCGAAACGGCGTGGATCCAATTTTTCCAAATAGAAGGACACTTGGAATAAACCGCATATGGGTTCTATTTGAATACAAAACATATATTTTTTATTCGGATTTCGATAAGAAAAAACTAGTATATTCAAATAGAACATTACCTTTTTTTTTTTTTTTTAGGTTAGCACATGCCCTTGTGCTCCCTGCCACTAACATGTTGCATGTTGCAGGGCTCTCTCTCTCTCTCTCACAGACACACACACACACGCACACACACGCACACACATACCCACACATACACACACACACACACACACACACACACACACACACACACACACACACACACACACACACACACTCTTCCCCCACCCCTCTTAAAGAAGTTCCGCTTTAACCCACTAGAGGAGGCGATATGAGTATCCCTTTATAGTGGAGTTACGACAGAATGCTCCCGTCCATTGGTTGGGAACGACATTTGCGTTGAACGGGGTCTAACGTCCCATGAACATCGTGAATAAAGCACCAACTGGAACCACCCCCCCCCCACACTCTTGGAGTCATGTATAGAGAATATGAAAAAACATAAACACAACATAATCAGTACCTTACCCTTCCTCAACCACATCGACAAGCTACGGGTTGTGTACCCATGCCCTTATGGTCACGGTAAGTCAATCAGGGGCTACCTCCTTGGGGGGGGAAATGGAGAGGCTACCCCCTAAGGGGCAGAATGGAGAGGCTACCCCCATGTACCTGCCTGCTGACGGCGTGACACATACATCTGCAGATTAGTAGGTGAATATAGCAAGTCGAAGACTCAACTCGTACAACCAATAAAGTGTTGAGATGCTGACCACGTTCGAGTCCACTACTGGTCATTTGAGAAAAAAAACCTAGATTCGTTGTGTGATGTTCAAACCCTCTGTTCGGGGTCAAGGTCCCACCAACCAAATTTTTCGTTCCGTCGCATCTATCGATCTTCGGTGCACCGAATAAAATCGAATCAGATAGTTTTTTTTTATAACAAAAAAAACTCGCTCATTTGATTGCGCACACCAAAAGATACGTAGGTGCAGGGGGGCAGGAGGGAGCGACAATGGAGGACTGGGACTTTTCAGTCAAGATGCCTCGTGGTAGAGGCTCTAAAACTATTTCCTGCATATTTGTAGCTATTTGGTGTTGAGCATTGTTCGCAACCCTAAAGCTGCGTAAAGTAGATTTTGACGTTTGTGTCAAGATGTCGCATTTTGGCGATAGGTGACCAGAATGCAAAGTGGTTTTTTAGGGGGGAAAAAAATTGGGGGACCGGTCCTTGGCAAAATTGCGGACTACTTACAACTATTTCTGGTAGAATTGAGACTTTTGGAAAAAAGAAGAACTCGTCATTGGGTGGAAGCAAACCCTAAAAATAAGTGGGGGGCGTTGGACCGGTCCTCGGGTGGAAGTGGACCCCCAAAAGAAGTGAGGGCATGTGAACTGCAAAAAAGGACCCTCAGGCCCAGGCGTTGAGGCTCGTCTTCTCAAAACAGGGAGGTAAGGCGCAACGAAACAAACGTTTTGCAAGAGGCAACTTTGACGATTTTTTGTGCTCGGAGGAACCCACAAAAAAATATAAAATTTTGATAATCCATAAATAAGGTCGTGTTATTTCCAGAAAAAATTTTAAAAACATTAAAAAAAAATTATTTAGACTTCGAAATAATCGTTGCGTCGATTCGGCACATTTTCCATTTTTGCTACTCAGCCATATGTGGGCCATCTGAAAAATTACTCCAAATTCATAGAGTTTTCACGCTCAGAAGAATGCATGAAAAAACCTGAAAATTGGAGTTCTCCTAGATTTTGTTGTGATATTTCCAGGAAAAATGTTCCATAAATTAGAAAAATAATTCCAACTGTGAAATAAATCGTGGCCGCAATTTTACCTATATTTCAATTTTGCCATTCAGCCTCTCTCTCTCTCTCTCTCTCTCTCTCTCTCTCTCTCTCTCTCTCGCTCTCGCTCTCTCTCTGTGGTAGGACCCCTCTCCGTCTCTCTCTATCTCATTCTTTCTCTCTCT